GGAATGCGGGGGGCGAGGGTGTACTCTGAAACCTCCCTGGGGAGGTGACTCCTGAGGTGAGACTTGATGGGCTGTCTCAGTGGCTGCAGGGCCACTTGGCTGGACTCTCAGCTGGACAAGACTGTCCCCTTATTGACTAATTACCGAGAGACAGGGAGACTGCTCACCAAGGGAAACTGGACATCCTAAGGCAACAGGAAGAGAGTTTTACAAGGAGAGTGACATTGGGGTGAATCTGCAGTGCATCGTGTTGTTGGCAGGCGGAAGCACAGGGAACCGTGTGGGCAGAGGGACTGCAGACCTGGACAGAGCAGCTGTGTCCAGTTTCCCTGGAGACCGTGGTGTGGGGAGACCCGGAACTTCTCTGAAGCTTGCGCCCACTTGCATCTGTATCTCCGTGACTCCAGGACTCAGCCACAGGCCGCTTCATCTTCAGTGCTGTCATTTCAGACTGCGAGAGTTCGGCATTTGATGATTTCAGAAAAGAAGTTTCTCCATGAGTTAAAACAGCAGCCACTCAAGGCTGTCGTAACCGCCGGCAGCTGTCCTCCAGAGAGAAGTGCTGCTTGGTGTCCACGGCTGCTCTTGCCTGGCTCTGTCCTCCACACACTGAATGGCTTTTTCTCTTCACTGCGGACTGTACCCAGCCACAGCCCCCTCCTCAGGAAGCTCAGTCGATAGAGAGTGGATGCAGAGAGCGGGCTGAGCTGCACGTGCTGCCATTTATACACCTACATGGAATGTAAAGATGAGTGAATTCATTGTGTTAACAACTAATGCTCATCAGCTGCCCTTGTGAAGCAAGAAGAAAAATGAAGGTGTTACTGTCTTCTCCAGAGGCCAGGTGGAAAAGGTCAGTCTCTAGCAAAGGGCATTTAAGCAAGGATGAAGATGTGCATTAGCTTGAGGAGCAGAGGAAGCAGCATGTGCAAAGGCCCAGGAGCGAATGATGGGTGTGCACCTGTTGGAATGAATGATGGGAGAGCGGGGCCAGGTGCAGTGTGACCTCACCTGTCAATTTAGGCATTGTATTTAATATTATGGCATCAGTGTCCTCAGGCAGGGGTGCCTGAAGAGCCACACCTGCTCATATGCCTGTGTGTCTTCCTCCCTCCCTCCCCCTCCTCCCCTCTCTCTCTCTCTCACACACACACACACACACACACCACACACACACACACACGTGTGCACCTGGGTCCTGCAGCTCAGTTTTGAATCTCCAGCACATAGACCTCTAGGTGCCCTCTTGCTTATAAGGGCTCCCAGATGCCTAGCGTGGTGGAGCCATGTCCCCCCCCACTCACCACCCAGAAGGCCCCTGTGTGTCTGAGACTTCATCCAAGGGCAGTGCAAGGGTCTCGTGATGGAGTCATAGGTGATGGAAGCCACTCTCTCTTAGAGTGACACCCCAGCTGCCATGTCACTGCCAGTGGAGGAAAACTAGCCTTTAGTGACCGACCTCTGTGAGCAGAAGGACCACCGTAGGTATTGTTGTGCGCTGCCAAAGCCAAACATGAAGTGGTGTGGGGGACAGGGACAGGAGGACCCTTGCCTCTGCTCCGGGCTGTGTGGTGTGTGCTCTGTGTGATGTGCATGATGTTGTGCTGTGTGTGAGGCTGTGTGGCACCTGGGGTGTGTGCAGGAAAGGAGAGGGCATTTAGGGCACTGCTGTTCACCCTCTGCTCTGGGATCCTGAGCCCCTCTGCAACAGCACCCTCTGGACCCTGCTGCCCCTGCGGTGGCAACCCCTAGCTGCAGAGTCGGTGTGGAGGAGGAGGTAGGGCCACCAGGAACCCGTGGGAACGCACAGTGGTTGACCTAGTAGGAAATGGTTTGAGCGGTCAGTCCTGTCCTCATGGTCAGCCACCGTGGGCCCGTCGCAGGGCAGGGGTCAGGCCTGGGGAGGTGTCATGAACTCCACCCAGGGAGCTCCCGAGGAGAGGCAGTGGCAGCTTGGCCCCGCCTGCAGGACAGCACGGGGACCTCAGGGACACAACACGTGGCGTATCGTGGGATGTTTGCGGCATCAGGTAACAGATGTGGTTCGCCTCCCACAACTAGAAGTCCACGAAAGGGTGGTGACTGGGACAGCACATCAGGGTCACCTGGACCTTTTTCATGAATTGACTGTACAATCTGATGACAGGATGGCACTGGTGTCACCCTAAGGAGGCCAGTCTGTCTTGGGTCTGCTGAGGAGGAGGGAGATTCCTCCCAGGGGAACAGACTCTGCCTTCCTCCCTGTGCCCATTAGGAACCATTGCCAGCAAGACCCAGGAGCCTGGCCTCCTGCAGCTGGGCCTTCACAGGAAGGACCACACCCATTCCTGGGTGCATCTCAACCAGCATGAAGGCCGCCCACACAGACACTCCCCCTCCCCCCAGGATCAGGGGCAATACCAGTGGTTTGCAGGTGTAAGGGCAGATCATTATCACAAAGTTTACCATGGACCCTTGTGCCTGTGAGCCATTTAAAATGTATTTCTCATTGTGGGTCATGTTCCAAAGGTGGTATCTTAATTAATCATTTTGCATGTGCATGAGTCAACTATAACTCATTAACTAAATATCTGTTTTTGGCCTTGGCTTATTCAGAGAATTACACACCAAGGCGTGTCTGCGGTGCAGCTGGAAGCCATTGTTGAACAGTTGTTCTAGTGTCTGGATTCCAGAATAGAAATCATTGATTGGGGTGATAAAATTATCCCAGCTACCTTGCTGCCTGTGGACCTGAGCTGTGTATGAAGGGACCTGCCGCCTTGTATGGCGACTGGACCTGGAAACACGGCTGATCTGAACAGAGAGGTCTTAAGAGGAAGACTCAGATGTACAGTATCCATAACTAGTCCTTTAATGTAGGTTAACTGTTGATGGTCCTAACTACTAACATTAGGGTTTTCTATGCACTCAGGATGCCAGCAGGGAATTATCTCTGGCCTCGGAGTCCAGCTCCAACAGGGAGTCTCAGGATGGTGAGGCGTCGGCGAAAGGGGGTGGAGAAACAACACAGACACAAAAGTGAAGGTTCTGAATCCCAATCTTTACTTGTGAAGTTGATCATATATACTTTTCATTTTGGCAGGCTCACAATACTTTGTGGTTACAAAACAGGAATCATTATTCAAAGAAACAAAGTATTACGTAGCTACAATTAGAATAGAAGAATGTGTCTTGGCTTATGCATAAGCAAGCATTGTACTTTCAGTTCGAGTTTTGCTTTGAGCTGTTTCTGCTTAGTTAACTTTTAATAATAGAAATGTCCCAGACTATTGGCCTATACCTTGACTATTCTTTCTTGACTTACTGAGTAGAACCGGTGCCACGGTTACGGCAAGCGGTTAACTTGAAAAGAGAGGCTATTAATTTCGATCAAACAAGAGTAAGAGCACAAACCATTGTGCACAGGAACAAGAACAGGTTGCCCAGTACTAAGCACTAATCTGTCTTCTTAACATTAATTCTTCTTCTCTAGATTTTAATTTAATTTCTCAAAAACTTCCTTGACAGGAATACAGGGTTTTTTTCATTAAACATTAACAATTTATGCTCCACAGCTGAATCATTGTCTATTCTTTAGAAGTAGTTACATTCATGGGAAAGTCATGTTTTTTTCCTTCATACTTAATAGTCATATGAGAAATAGCAACTCTACTTATTAAAGAAGTACAAAAACAAATCAGCCCATTCCCTGAAACATACTGTGCTCCTCCAGAGGATGGACGCCTTGCGCCATCCACCTCAGTAGGGCCTTGCCTTTGCCTGAGTCAGGGGAGGGGCGCAGCACTCTAGGTTCCCCTAAATGCATTGTTCAGTGTGCCTCTTTTCCATTTGGAAGCCCCTGCCAGAGTCTAGAAGCTCCTGGGTTTAGCACAAAGCCCTGGGATCAGGCAGTGGATCCAGTCCAGCGGCACTGGGCTGGTTTTGGAGCCCTGCAAATGGAATGAAAGCCTGAAGTAGCATCTAGTTTCATGAGATGCTTAAGGATAAGCCCATTCAGGGCATTTTTGTTCACTTTCCATCTAGCATCCAGAGAAACGTGTCTGTGTGTTTATCTCTGTGTGCTGTTATATGGTTGTCTAAAAAAAAAAAAAAAATAGAGGCATTGGGAAGCGGTAGAGAAATTAACTGAAATTCCCAATGGTTTGTTAATGCCACATAAGGCTAGTGATTCTAATTGTAAAGGAGTCAGGGAAATTCTCACAGTAACAGTCACCGAGCCATTTTACAAAAAGGAGAATTACACTAATGCACATATTAATTCAATGTTCTTAGAGGAGAACATCATTTTAAGTCCACATGCGGTATGCTATTTTCAACAGGAATTAAAATGAAATAAAATCTACAGGCAATAATTTGATGACCAAAACACGTGCCTGGGTTCTTTTTAAACATCCTTTTTTTTTGTGGAGCAAACAATTGAAAAAATTCAATTTATCCTTCTGAGTGAGAACACCTTGGGCCTGTCCCACCGGCTGCCAGTGGTCTGGCCTTGCATGCAGGTGCCTGAAGCCCCCTGCAGGTGAGGCTGCTCATTCATAGGGCCAGGTGGATCATGAGCCAGGAAATTGCCAAGGGTGGGGACAGAGGAACAAGCTAAAGGACATCCAGAGTGGCCATCAGCCAGATTTGGGGTGAGGAAGGCCTCATGGCGTTGACTAGAATAATTGGGGGACACTGAGAAGGGATACGGTTCTAAATGAATAGAGTCCTGAAAAAACAAAAATAGCAAAGGAAAAAGCAAGAGAAGACTTCAGAAGCAGAAATCAAACCTAGTAAGTAGACCTTGTTTAAATCCTAATTTGAGCAAATCAATTATTAAAAACATCTGTTGAGAGTTGGGGCTATTTGATAGTGGACATTAGAATAATATAGTCAGATTATGGTTAATTTTATTAGATGTGGTGAGTTACAGTTTTTTTTTTGTTCTGTTTTGTTTTGTTTTGTTTCCAGCACTAGAGATTGAACCCAGGGGCACTTAACCACTGAACCACATCCCCAAACCTTTTTATGTTTTATTTTGAGATAGATTCTCTCCAAGTTGCCTAGGGACTTGCTAAGTTGCTGGCTCTGAACTTGTGATCCTCTTGCCTCAGCCTCCCGAGCTGCTGGGATTACAGCTGTGTGTCACCACGCCTGGCACGCTCCTCAGTTAGTGCCTGACCATGTCCACTGGAGGGCTGTGTAGATAGGTACCCAGGGTGAAGAGGACGGAGGGATAGCAGAGTGACACCAGATGCAGCCAGACCCTAAATACAGAGGTGGCCTACTGGGACATGAGGCTAGGTCACGTGTGGTTCGTGCCACTCCTTGGATGGCCTCGTCCTGTGTTCCCTGATGTCCTCTCTGGCTCTATCTTGGTTGCTGACTTTCTTCCGTTTCCCCCAGTGGATGGTAAACCAAGGGCTTGCTTCTTTCTAGATCCAGCACAGATTCTCTTCTCAGCCTGAACCTTTGGGCGTTGGGACAAATGAAAGGTGTTTTTTTTTTTTTTTTTCTTGCAGTGCTGGGGATCAAACCCAGGGCCTCGTGCTTGTTAGAGCACATCCGAGCTACACGTGCACCCCAGATGTGTTTTCTTGTCTTTTTCTCTAACCAATGCAGTATAACGACGATTTATGTAGCATTTGCATGATATTAAGCATTATAACCATCTGGAGATGATTTAAAGTCTGTAGGAGGATGTTCTCAGGTTGTATGTAAATACTCGGCCATTTTACACAAGAGACTTGAGCATCTGGGGATTTGGGGTTCTGACGGGTCCTGGAACCAATCTTTCATGGATCCTGAGAGATGACTGAAATAATATGGAAATTATATGTGTATACAGTTATACGTAGTATATATGTATATAAATGACACATTGCATTATATATGTATATAAACTATATAGACATATACGTGTGTGTTTCATGCCGGGCGTGGAACCCAGGGCTTTACACAGGCTGAGCCCGCTTTCTACCACTGAGATAGAGAGCCAGGGTCTTGTAATCTCCACATGGGAAACTCCATGGGCACGTCAGACTTGGGTTACTCCGAAGCAAACAGGGTGGCTGTGACTCAAGACGGATGCCATCAGGTCAAGCTGGGTACTTTTAAGCAAACACAGCTGCAGGCAGGATTGAGTTAGGAAGTCACAATATTTCCATAAGACAAAGCAGTGGACTGAGAAAGACATAATGCTGGGGACGGAACCGGCCCCCTCCCACCACACAAGCTTAGCTTCCACATACGGGAGAAAACATACAGGACTTCTCTTTCTGGTTCGCTTTAACGTGCTAGTCTCTAGTTCCATCCATTTTCCAGCCAGTGACAGGCTTTTGTTATTCTTTATGGCTGAATTAAACCCCCTTGTGTATATGCACCTCGTTTTCTTTCTCCACCCATCTGTTGATGGACACCTAGGCTGGCGCCATAACGGGGTCTTAGCTGGTGATTGTGGGTGTGCAGTGATAATCACGGTACGGAGGTATCTCTGAAGCATGCCTTTAATTCTTTCGGGTAAATCCCAAGGACTGGGAGAGCTGGGGCCCGTGATAGTTGTACTCTAGTTCTTTGAGGAACCTCCATACTGATTCCCATAGCCTGCTCCACTACTTTATGTGTGAATTCTGCAGAGAGCCTGGCAGCGGGTGCTCACTTCTGCCCACGCCACCTTCAGAAGGGCTGGGGCTGATGTGGGCTGGTCTCCCTCCAGCCTCCACCACAGGGTCTTGGCTTGTGTCCCAGCTGCGGGCCCAGAGTCAGGATCCAAATCACGACTGGGGTGCAGCTCAGTGGTGGCATCTGGGCAGCATGTGCGGGGTCCTGTGTGTTCCCCAGCACCACAAAATACTGCTTGAGTTGGTGCCATGAGCAAGATTGCAGTCAGCAGGGAGCTTGCCGACAGCCATTCCTGGGTTTTGACCACACCAGGAAAACCTTTTCCCCTTGGAGAAGCTCCCGCTGACACCCAGACAGAGAGGCCTCCTGGAGGGAGTGCCTGCATGGCGGGGGAGGGCGCAGGTTGGAAAGGGGAAGAGGAACCCATGGGGAGGGGTGGAGGCCCCCTGCAGTGAGTTCTGACGTGAACAGAGGGAAAACATCATTCGGGGTGTTCCCTTTTACCTTCAAAGGAGGAGGGCATTGCTCTGTGTTTTCATCTAATCCTCTCCCCCAGCTGCTAATTAGGGTGATTTCATCTTTGAGCTGCTCTAGAGGCCCTTGGACTGTTCTTGGAGGCTGCTTTGAAATCTGCCCATTGGGAAACGTGGCTCTGCTGGAGAGATGGCCCCCAGAGGCTGTGGCTCTGAGCAGAACAGGGATCCACCCTGACACCAGGGGCTCCCTTAGACTGGCAGCAACTGCAGCGTCCAGAGCACCCTTCTGGTAGAAAGACATTAGCAGGGATGGTTTCTCTTTTTAAAAACACATCCCTGTGACTTAGGGACAAAACAGTGTCAAATACTGTGCTGGTGTGACACAGCACTAGCCTGCCCGAAGGTGAGGGTCCCCTCTGCACCCGATTCTTGTGATCATACAAGAAAGATTTTGGACATGTACCAGGCATGAGTTCATTGAAGGGATAGGAAAAGGGGAGAGGGAGAGAGTGGGTCCTCTCAGAGCAAAATGGCAGGCCCCTCCTTCCCTCCAGTGTTAATTGAGGATCCCAGGGGAACTTCCAGAGCATGTGCCCAGGTCTGCCTTGTGACTTTTTTTTTGTTTTTGGTGCAGGGGATGGAACCCAAGGCCTTGTGCAGGAGGCAAGCACTCTACCAACTGAGCTGTGTCCCCAGCCCTGCCTCCTGACTCTTGACTGACAGCAGGATGACATCAGACTTTCAAGTCCCTACTGTCCAGGTCCAGGACAGCTCTAGGTCTCTTTGGCCCATGCCGACTGGGCCAAATTAGAACAATTGGAATCTGTTCTGACCGATTTTATGGTTAGGGGAGAATTGTCCTTGTCTCCCCAAGTTGTGGGATCTGGTCTGTGTGTGGGTCACAGAGGTCACCTCTTTGGGGTATCTTGTGTTCTTCTTACCAATATTTTGGGCCTGCATTTTTCATGCCGATGACAGATTATTTGTGGAAGAATGTGATATATCCTGTTGACTTAAGCCAGGCAGGGCTGCAGGTAAGTTTCGAAAGAGAGAAGAGAAAGAAAAGAGGAAAAGAGGCAGGCACGCATGTGGGGGTCAGCACAGGGGCCCAGTTTATAGAGCCATTCCCTTAACCTCCCTTCCCACCACTCACAGCTGGACTTCTGTCGCCAACATCTACAATACACGTTCGGTGCCTTGTGAATGCAGGTGGGATGTGTTCCAGAAGCATCTCCAGGCAGGAAGAAGGAGGGACGCAGAGGCTCCTAACTCCAGGGGCTGGAAGGAGCAGAACCGTCACGGAGCCCAGAACCAGGCCAGAACTGGGGGAGGCCCAGCTGGCTGTTTGTTTTCCTAGTCCACCCAGGTCTCTCCTCAGGCCTGAAGCTGCGATCCACACAGGGAGTTAAAAGCAGAGCAGGACAAACGTCTTCCGTGGCTTTCTAGCCACAGCTTTGCAGACTTCCGATTTTGTGAGGGGGAGTCCACAGCCATCCGCCCTCCAGGCCCCTCTCTCACCCTTTCACGTCTCCAGACCCTGACGACCAACCTCTGTGGCCACGCAGGGCCACTCTGGCCCTGAAATCATGAAGTCCTGCTATTCCAAAGGGAAATCGCATCCTCCCTTCCCAGAGTGGCCCGTGTGGAGAAGAACAGGAGGAGCCTCTGCTGTCCTCTAGGGCACAGTCCAGGACACCGTCACATCTCAGGGGCCCAGGTGACCCAGGCTGGGGGCACCTCCTATTCTGGAGTCAGGATCCGCCTTGGAGAGGACCTAATTTAGAAGCAACCCTGTCCCCAAGACAGGCATTTGGGGCCATCTTGAGAAGCACAACCAGAGGGGACAGTCAGGCGAGGGAGGGAAGGGACAGGTGAAGGAGGGTCTCAGAGCAGGCAGGGGAGGCTCCCCAGGAGGACATGGCGGAGAGATGGAGAAGGCGCTGGGAGGCAGCTCCCCCCTGGGGGGGAACTCTGGAGGACCCTGTGCCCGGCGTCACATCTGTTTGTCACTTTTTGAGGTAGCTGTGTATTTGCTTTGTGCGGTTTTCTGAGTCCCATCTTTATTTCACAGTAAAAGCTCAAAGAAACACAAGGATAAGAAATGAAATCTTGGTGGAGCCAGAGAAAGGACCAGAAGACACGTCCCTCCCTGGCGGGCCACTGGAATGTCCATACCCAACTGTCCCCTCTAGGAAGGGCCGGCAGTGGTCTTGGCAGAAGCACTTGCTTGGTCGCTGACCCTGTTCATTAGGAGTTGAAATGATTCTCTTCGGCACTGACTCCACCTGGCTTCCTGGGTTAACTGCTTTGGGCTTGAACTGGTGAAAAGGTGAGTGGACCTGACATTTTATGTTTTTCTCTTCGCCAAAGGCGTGTCACTCAGGGCCTCCAGGTGTGCCCCGACGTGAAGCTGCTTGGAGGCCACATGGCCCTGGTCGGGTGTGAGGCTTTCTAGCTGAAGGGATCCTTCCCAGTGGCTCCCACAGGGATGGGGGCATTTGCCAGGCTGCCCAGCACCTCAGCAGGGGCTGGGGAGGGGGATGGAGCTCAGCTGTGAGGCCGCGGGTTCGACCCCCAGCACTGGCAGAAACTAAAAATAAAAAAAGCTAACAAGTGGCCAGAGTGGGGGAGGGAGAGGAACACCGGTAACATTCTGATGAAATGACGAGCAAAGACAGCTCTCTCTGGGGCTGGGATTGTGGCTCAGTGGTAGAGCGCTCGCCTAGCACGGGCAGGACGCGGGTTCGATTCTCTGCACCACATAAAAATAAAGGCATTGTGTTAAAACAAAAACACAAACAAACAAACAAACAACCCAGCTCTCAAAGTACCAGGACTGTTGGGTATTCAGTTCAGAAATAAAATTCAGAGGAAAAGCCTCTCAAGAGTCCCAATGATGGAAACCCCCTGCCCCCCCCGCTCCCCACAGCCGTGCCCCTGATTCCTGACAACGGGTTCTTGTACAGCTCTCTTCTGCAGATTTCCTGCCTGGTGAGATGACGTCCTTGGGGATGGTTTAGCCTAGGATGACGTGACACTCAGGGCAGTGTGATGGGGTTGGGGACCCCATAGTGGCCTTGGCCACAAGCAACAGAAGGTCTTTCTCCAGTCACACAGGGTGTGTGTTGGGGGGACACACTTGTGCACACACCTTAGGAGGGCTGGAGAGCTGGCCCAGAGAGAGGCGTGACCAGGTGGGCCCTGCCCTTCACTGAGTTCTGAAGGACACTGCCCGGCCTCTGTGAGTACCCACCCCGGTGTGGGTCTGGGGAGGGAAACTGAGGCCTCCTGCATGGGTGGGTGAGGCCTGACCTCTAGCCCAGCTGGACCATGCAGGGTGGTGGGATGCTGGGACACGTGTGTGTACATTACACACCTCACACACAATGTGCACACACGCCTGCTAATTTTGGAACTGGACTTTAACGAAATCCTGGTTTAGGCTGGTGCAGGGTGCTGTGTTTTTCTGACCGGGCAGCTCTGTGGTCAGGCTCAGCAGTGTATTAATGGTCCTGTTGCCCTGGGCTTTGCTCTGAAACTGAAGGCCCGAGGGTTGGTGACCTGCTGCGGTCCTCATCCCAGGGGTTGGCATGCTTTTGAGGAGTAGGACAAACTGTGGGTGTTACCATGTTATCAGTCTTTGGATGCTGAAGAAAGAAAGGAAAGAACACCACCAACAGAGACCCTGGGCATCTGGTTAAGAACCGGAAGAGAGAGTCTGTTGAATGTGCTCTGTGTTACAGGGGAGGCACCTTTGCAGTGACCGCGAGGTGCTTCTGAAACCTTTAGGTTTGTACGTTACTGAGAGAGGAGTTGGTGATTCTGGTGTGACAGTGACTTTGCAGAGTGAATGGTCGTGGTCTGATCTGGGTCCTTCTCCCCTGGAACTTTTGCTCCTGTGCTCTCAGGGGTCCTGGTCGGCCTCCTCAGCCTCTTGCCCTGTTCTCACACCTCGCCTTGCCTCTGAGCCTCCATCTCCTTGCAGTCCCTTACCTGGAGTCCAGCTCTGTCTCACCAAGCTCCAGGTGGGACATGGCAGGAGGCTGGACACCCGCAGCCCACGCCCACCACCCTCTTCCAGCACCTTCCAGCACCTTCCCGCAGCTGGTACTGTTTATACATGGGTCACCTCCCAACCTGGGAGCTGCCTGGAAGCAGGCCCCTCTGAGTGGTCATGCCATTTTGCCCTTTCCGCCTGGCCAGCTGGGCCCCTAGGAGGATTTACTCCATACGGGTTTAAGGGATGGGTGAAAGGAAACTGGACGCAGGACTGGCCACTCGGCCACACCCAGAACAGTGGCAGGAGCAGGCAGGCTGTCTCGAGCAGGGTGACAGCAGCACTTCCCTGAGAGCTGTACTTGTATGAGTCAGAATCTAGGCCGCGAACTGGAGAGCAGGCTTCAAGAGCCCCAAAACCACAAGGCAAGTACACTGTCACCAAGTTCTTAGAACTGGCACCTGTGCATACTCAGACAGTAGACTAAAGTCTGAGCTGTGGTTAGGGGCAGGTGTGAGGGCTCTTACAGGAGGGGGAGGGGGCCGAGAGTGCAGGGTGCCACCTCTGGGCAGAATGGGGTGTGCCTGGCTTGACTTGGAAAATCAGCTCCTGGTTACGCTGACAGTGGGTGCCGCCATGAATGAAGGGATGTGGCCCCTTATTTGCTCCCTGGGGCCATGGTTCTTTTTTTTTTTTTTTAATAGTTGGTAATACCTCTTTATTTTTTTTAGTTTTCGGCGGACACAACATCTTTGTTGGTATGTGGTGCTGAGGATCGAACCCGGGCCGCACACATTCCAGGCGAGCGTGCCACCGCTTGAGCCACATCCCCAGCCTCAAGGGCCACCGTTCTTAAAAGAATCACCCAAGCTCTTGCAAATGGCGGTTGAATTCTTGTGAAGGTTCCAGAAGAGGTTTCCAAGGCAGACGTGGACATTATTAGAAGTGTGTCGGTTTCTCCAGCCGAGGAGCTGAGCAGACTCCCTGGCATGGGGTTGGAGAAGTTGCTGGTGGGTGCAGAGGGCTCTGCTCTCCTGGGCAGGAGGGGAGGCCGAGAGACGGGCATGGGAAGCCCCCACAAAGTGTCTGTGATGCTCAGTGTGACTTGAGGCCACAACAGCAAAACCTCAGAGGGGCAGGAGAGCTGGGGGCCGCCCAGCTGCTCCCTGCTCTAGACAGCCACAGCTTTCCTTTTGTCCATCCTCCTGGCCCTGTTTAGATGACAGGTATCGTTCAATAAAATGACAAGAATCACAGGGTCCCTTAGTGGACACAGCCCTGGGAGGAGATGAGGAGAGCAAAGGGAAGCCCAGCTCGGAGCTAGGAAGGCTGGAGTGGACAGAAGGCTCAGCGTGCACCGGATGTACCGGGTCGCCAGCAGGTGGCGCTGCATCGCTCAGGCCAAGTCTTCAATGGGGGCGGTTGTTGGTTTTATGGTCCTGGGTATAAGCTTAACAGAATTTTAATTTTTGCTTGAAAGGTTGAATGACATCACAGGCAACAAACAATGTCAGTTGTTTTTCTTGAAGATGTTATCTCAAAAATAAGTTTCAACTTATTTTTGAGATAACATCTTCCAAATGACTAATTCTAAGTTTTGGGGGTTGGGGTATGGTGGGGAGGATGGGTTGTACTTAACCACTGAGTCATATCCCTAGGCCTTTTTATTTTTATTTTTTTATTTTTTTATTTTGAGACAGGGTCTTGCTGAGTTTCTTAGGGACTCACTGAGTTGTTGAGGGTGGCCTCAAACTTGCAACCCTCCTGCCTCAGCCTCCCGGGCTGCTGGGATTACAGGCGTGGGCGACTGTGGCAGGCCTACTGTACGTTTCTATTGTTACCTTGGAGTGCACTCCTACCGCTTATTTAAAAACAGTGGACTATAACAGTGCATCTGGCTACACGGGCAGCAGCCTCGGATCTGCTGTCTGCTGTCTCGATTGACCTGTGCCATGGCGATCTGTGTGAGGACACTCCAGGGTGTTTGCACAATGATGGAATCACCTAAATACACGTCCTGGCATTAAGTGAGTAGGACTGCACTTCAGTATGCAGTGGAAATGCCTATGCAAACTTCCCATTTTGTCCCACAGACTCAAAAAGGCTTGTACTCAAAGTGTGACACTGAATAAAATCCATATCTTTTACAGTTTCCTCTTGAACTTTTTTTTTTTTTTTTTTTTTTGGCACTGGGGTTTGAACCCAGGGGTACTTTACCACTGAACTCCACCCTCTTTTTCTTTTTTGAGACAGGGTCTCACTAAGTTGCTGAGGTTGGCCTCAAACTTGTGATCCTCCTACCTCAGCCTCCCAAATCACTGGGATTATAGGCATTCCACCATATTGGCCCTTGGAAACATTCTCCAGTGAAACGGTCTCATTGTTATTGTGTTTGTCAGTGAAGCACTTAGTGATTAATGAGGACAGTTTGGTGCTTTTGACTTGATCTGATCATGCTAGCAGTGGTACCGTCTATTGCTTTTGCATCATCCAGGAGATTGTCCAGCCAGCAAAGAAGACAAATTTCATCTTATTGTCATTTCAAAAGCAGTGTTAACTTTACAAACCACCTCTAAGGGTCTTGGTTTATCACCCATGGCTCTGGAATGATATTTCTCTCGCTGACATAACAGTAATAGGTTCACTTTGAGAATTATTTACTATTAGGATTTATTTTTGTTATAGGGTGTCTGGCCATTTCTTGTTTGGGTTCGGAGGCTCAACAATGTCAGAGGTTTAAGCAGATGTCTCTGAAATTCTTTTGGCTTTTGGTCTCTGAAATTCTTTTGGTCCTAAGATGGCTGCAGTAGATCCAGCAGCATGACCTCACTCAACGTTCAAAGTCAGAAAGAGAGGGAGCACCAGATAGAGGGGTCTTATGAAGTCTTTTCCAATCCTGCCCCTTGAGGTGAATTCTCAAAAAGATGTGGAAGTCCTAGACTCTAGAGCCTCAGAGTATGACTCTATTTGTAAATGGGGTCATTGCAGATGTAGTTCAGATGACATTACTGAACCTCCAAACCAAACCACTGATGCAATATAACTGGCATTCTTATACAGAGAACACCAGGTGACGCCGAGACCCAGAGAGAGTGAATGTGAGGATGGGGGGTGGTCAGAGAGATGCGGCCACATGCCAAGGAATGCCAAAGAGTTTAGCAACCACAAGAAACCAGGGCGGGCAAGAAAAGAGTCCTCTGTAGGTGCCACCCTTTAGACACCCTGACTTCTGACCGCTGACCTCTAGAAATGGGAGAGACAATGCCTTGCTGCTGCTTTAAGTCATATGGGTTGTCTTTGTTACAGCAGCTCCAAGGAACCAATGCAAACTACACCCAGGTATGGACTGCAGTTGGAGGACTGTGGAATGCACTGTGTGGTAGACTGAACTGTATCTTCCCCAGGTTCATATGTGGAAGCCCTAGTCATCCCCAGTGTCACTGTGTCTGCAGGTAGGGCCTCTGGGGAGAATTAAGGTTCAATGAGGTTCATAAGGACAGAGCCCTGATCTGACAGAGCTCTCTCTACCAAGAAAGGCTACAGTAAGAAAGTGGTCAGTGTTCTACAAACCAGAAAGAGCCCTCACCAGAACCTGACCATGCTGGTACCATGACCTTGGACTTCCAGTTTCGGGAATGATGAGAAATAGATGCCTGTCATTTAAACAACCCAGTCTGTGGCATTTTGTTATAGCAGCCTGAGCTGACTAATACAAACTGCCATCCTCTCTCCATGCCTGTACTTTCTGTTCAAATCCATCTAGTGGAAGCAAACCAGCTGCTTCTAGAATCATCATAAAGCATCCTTAGAAGAGGCAGATTGGGGGAGCTTGCCTGAGGACCCTACTGGCAAACCCCGGCTTCTGATTCTCTCTTCTATGTGATTTTCTGTGATGGACTGACTACTATTCTGAAAATAATTCATGAAGACCTGACTATGTCAATCCCTAAGTACAAATACTGTGTCAATACAGGAGAATAAATAATTCAAGCATGAATATTTAAAACCGGCAAATCCAGAATGTTGTATTTGCACTCTGGGATGTCTAATTTGTTTGCTATGCTGATAAGAGCAAAAAAAAATTTCCATAATGATATTTGTATATTCATAAGTGGTGCTAGAAATAAATGGCTCATCGTAATCATCATATGCACATCTTAGTGGCGAAGAAAGTCAATTTCACGTCAAGAAGCCAAGGGTCACATTTTCTTCACAGGATCCTCCTGTGTGATGGAGAAGCACTTTGCTGTGTGTCAACAAAGAGGACTGAGAAGGGGGAACTGGTCCAGGAGCCTGTCCAACACCCACACTCAGGGGACCTTCTCTAATGAGAAATGCCCCCTGCGTTAGAAGCAGGTGGAGCTGGAATGCTGAGTAGGGACAGGCAGAGTCGGGATCCCCTGAGGGTCTTTCTCCCCAAGGGTCTTGGAAGACCTGCCCACCAGTCAGTATCGTCAGCTCTGGAAGTGTTCTGCCCTGAGGTGATTGAACCCAGTGGTGCTGAACCACTGAGCCACATCCCAGCCCTTTTACTGTATTTTCTTTAGAAACAAGTCTCACTGAGTTGCACTCAGTTGCTGAGGCTGGCTTTGAATCCCGATCCTCCTGCCTCAGCCTCTCAAACTGCTGGGATTACAGGCATGTGTCATGGTGTCTGGCTTCACAGCCTTTGATAATGGCCCAAAATGAGAGCTAGAACCTGGTCAAGGCACTAAGACAGATTTTATTTAGTACTGTTGCAATGAGCTGAGCTCAATTCCAAATACAAAGACAAGTGGGACTTAGAGCCGCGGAGCGGGTGGGGGCACGAGTGGCAAGGTGGGCAGAAGACGGAAAGTAACTCAGAGGAAACGCCAGGGTCAGGGGATTCGTGCTAATGGCAGGCCAGGGCAGTGAGACCGCAGGGTGGGAGGGGTGGACTGAGCAGGACTCTTGGTTTAGGCCGGCCCAGGGCGGGGGCTGCAGTGGCCTAGCTGAAAACAGTACTGGAAGATCCTGCCGAAAGTTTGGTCAAGGTCAGACCCGAGAAAATGCAGGAGAAGATTGTCCTTCAGCTAGAGAGGGCACCGTGGTCTGGACATGGCTTGGTGTGTCCCCCCGGGTTTCATGTACTGAACTTGAATCCCCAAGGTGAGGTATTAAGAGGGTAGAGACTTAATCTAAGCATAAGGTCATCAAGGTGGGGGCACCTGATTGAATCCCGGTGGCTCTGTAAGAAGGAGGACAGTGGCCAGAGGATACACCTGCACCCTCCCTGTCTCCTGCTTTGTGGATCCCTTGCATCACCTTGGGACTCTGCCAGCAAGAAGGCCATCGGCGGATGCCAGCTTCCTCATTGCAACTTAAGAAGTGTGAGCCCAAATGAACATCTTTTCTCTATGTCGCAGCCAGTCTGTGGTACTGTGTTCTGACAACAAAAAATGGAGTAAGGTGGTGGTGAACGTATGATAAAGTAAAATAGAAGTCACAAACTATTAAGTCATGGGAAGGATGAGGGGAGAGGGGCCCAGGGAGAGCAGGCCTGCAGGGGTGACCCTGCCAGCATCTGAGCAGGACTTGCTGCTGTTCCCTGGGATTGCCCAGGGCAGGTAAAGTTGGTCTTGGATGGCCACTCTTGGCCACCTTTATCTGTCCTGGAGGGAAGTTTGGTATGAACTTGGAGTAAACACTAGTAAGTGCTTAGGAAAACCTGCCATGAGATAAGAACTCTCAAGAATGTGACTCTAAAGAATGAGCTGGCCACTTCCTGTCTCCAACCTTTAGGTGAGAATCAAGGCAGAGTGACCTTGGTTGTAAAGTAAAAGGATGCACACAAAACAGCTGAAGAATTGCACGTGTGCGGGGACCGATGTGCCCCCCATCCTATACAATGCTCCTGCTTGCAGGAGTGGGGCAGTCCTGCAGGGTATCCCAGCCCTCCCTGCCAAGGAGGATATGAGTAATCAAAGGTCCAGAACCTCTCCATGGAGTCCTCCATGTTCTTTCTTTGGGATTGGAAAACTCTGCCTGGGTCCTTTGCAGCCCAACTCCATTCTAATTGGGAAGTCGGCGAGTGAGCAAGAGAAAAGGCATCAGGAAACTCCCTTTGAAAACTGCCCCAGTTTTTCCCCAGGAGGGTCAGTGGTGACCTGGTGAATGCCCTTCAGAAGTGGAACTGAAGGAATCCTTTGAGTTGTTCCCAGAAATGTGAAGGGGGCTCTTCTTGGTTTGCAGACACACATAGGGTCTGCTGGGGAGAAGGTGGCTGACCATGCTCCACAATCACACCTCCCTGGAGGGCTCCTTCACCTCACCACGACCCCTGGGTGGGTCACTTTTCCAGGAGTGGGCACCCACCTCTCCCACAGCACCTTGAGGGCAAGCAGTACTTATACAAGGGGTGGGGGATTTTCAGGGGTGAGTGGTACTGTTAACTAAAAGAAATGCCCTGCTCTGCTTTGGTTCACGGGTCATGTTCAAAGATTAAAAGCCACACAAATCAATGATATTTAGAATTTAGCTGCATTTCATGGCCCATATTTCCAATTTAAATCTCTTTACTTTTGGTGGACACATAGTAATTGTGTTTCTAGGACACAGCGTGACATTTCAATTCATGCATACAGCGTGTAGCAACAGATCAAGGTAACTGGCCTATCCAACTTCAGACACACATCATTTCAATGTGCTGGGAATTTTCATAATCCTATTTACTAGTTGTTTTGAAATAGTCAATTAATCGATGTCAACCACCCTCATCCTACTGAGGACATCAGAAGCCCTCCCTCCTTTTCTTCTGTACCCTGTACCCCTGTCCATCTCTTTCCCTCCCTCCTACATCTTTCTGAGTTTTAACAGAACTCGGGATTCCACGTTAAGATTGAAACTGCTCACAGCTCTTTTCAATGTGTTTTAACCCCCTCCGATTCCACTGACCATCTGCCTGGCCTTCCGAGAGAGGACGTGAATGAAGGCTCTGGAGCCTGCCTCGCCCAGCAGCATCCATCAGTGCCGTCAGTCTCCACTGGCTAAGTGCCTTTCCACAACCCACGGACCGGTTGGGCCAGCAGTGATCAACCTTCGCCTGTTTCCGTTTCAATTAGCGGTGAGACAGGAGGGAGCCAGGGCGAGGGACGCTCCAATCTCGGACTTCCTTGATCACTGGATTTAAATTATACCTCTCTCTCCTGCTCATTTCTTTGCTTTCTACAGCGCTTACAAAATCGCTTCATTATATGCTTTTTTTTTTTCCTGGGCATTGGAAAGTAAGCTCTAGGGAGGAGGGGGGGGGCTGGAGCGGTGGGTTTCCAAAGTCTGCGTGGGGTGGAACCTGTTGTAGGGGCGCAGAGCCTTCCCAGGAGCCTCCAGGTTCCATAGTTGGGTCTGTTACAGCACCTGACAACTGGCAGATTCACAGGAGAAAGGGCACGTACATTCATTAACTTTAAACATAACTTGCGCGAGGGCTGTCAGAACAAAACCCCCAAACCCCGATACCCATAAAAGCAATGATTTTAAGTGTGCATGTTCCATCGGAGCAGGGGACATGGACACTGACTTTATAGATCCCTGGGGGAATAGTTGGGAGAGATGGTGACAAAGGGTGGGTGGGTGCGGTGGCAATCTCGGCTTGTTTGGCCTGGGTCGACCATATTTCCTAGTTGGTGAGATTTCTGAGAGGAGGATTGTGACATTCCTATTGGAGAATCTTGTCTTTAGGCGGAAGCTTCTCCCAGCGTTTGTTGTTCTTCAAGTGCCTTTGGTTCAAAATGACCAATATACCAAAGCCACAAATAGACCACGGCAGCATATTTTGGGGCGCCTTATTTTGGTTTCTTTCGCTGTCTATGCTGTTTTTTTTTAATATTCTGTCCATCGTGGGCTTTTAACATTAATTTCGAATTGTTAAAATATTGCATTTAATCATTATTTATACGGATTACGGAGCTTTTGGGGAGCGCTCTTACACCTTGCTCCCTGGCCAGTGTCTCCTCCAAGTGAAACATTCTTTGACATCCACCCCCACGTTTCTTCCTGGACTCCAGGAACCCTCCCAGCCAGTACGCACCTCGGGGTAAACAGCCAGAAAGAAGCGAGCGCAGGCTTCCTCGCCGCCCGCCCTCTCCCTCTCCACTGCCCTGCCCCTTCCTGTCGCCTTCAGCCTCCCAGCTTCTTCCTCCTTCCAAGGCGCAGGGCTAGGGCCAGAGTTCAAGGCAGGGCTCAGGTGCGCTAGGGCGGGGAGCGGGGGGCACGGAAGGAGGCTCTCGGGAGTTCCAGGTGGCGCGAAGGTGCGCTCACTGGGTGAACGCGGCGCAGGAGCGGGGGAAGCGCCGGAAGAGGTGGGCAGGACCGGTCGGTAGGACTGGGGGTGGGAGGTGGGGTGAGGGGCCGGCCTAGGCGTAGGGCTGGGGGTGTGCCCTGGGGGCGGGGCCCAGGGATGTGGGCGGGACGCAGTGGGCGGGGCGGGGCGCAGTGGAGGGTGTGGCCGGAATGTGGAGCGAGCGCCGCAGACTTCGCTCCCGGAGGCTGGTGCTTCGCTCAAGCCGCCGAGGCAGCTGCCACTGGGGTCGCCGGTGGGTGTGAATCTCCCTCCCCCTGCGCCACATCCACTGCTGCAGCCAGCAGCGAGGTCGGAGGTGGGGGGTGGGGTTCAGTCGGCGCCTGGGGTCC